AAGGGAATCTTTTGAAACTTACATGGAACTTTTCTTATTAAACATTGTCATAAATTGTGTTTGATAGGTATATATGTGTAATACATGTATGTGTAAACTGTGGAGAAACTGTTCGTTTTGATTCTAACAAAATTGTGACTCCAACAGCTAAGGGGTTGTTCAAACACAAACTGCAATATCTCAGGACCTCCACGAAAACTGCAAATATCTGGAACAAAAGGTGCAAGTGCCGGGGGATATTGTATGGCAGTATCAGAAAACAGATAGAGAGGTATATCAGGGATAATGTCTTGTCTTGCAGTATCTCTCAATGGATATCAAACACCATACAGGATTACTGTGTTTCCTGTAAATATGCTCTGCTATTATATGATTTGTTCTGTGTAGATTGGTTTTCCCGTTTGTGGGTTTGTAGTAAATACAGTTTTAATGGCACGGGTGAAATGAATATCCTATCTGTGGGAAGGATGGTAAACATGGGCCTCCTAGTGTCTAAATTTGGTACTGCACTAAAAAAAGTTGTTGCTTTTCCTGCAATGGAAATGAGACTGAAACCTTTAGTCCATCTTTTTACAAATGTTGCATGTCACTTGTACTTATCATACCTACACGTACTTGTGTGGGAATTCTAATATTTATAATGCATTAATTTAATAGGGGATTTTATTTCTTTTGTTCTTCAGAGTTGAACCAGATCCTGAACCAGAAGAAGGGGAGGACGAGGAGAAAGAACATTCTCCCAAATACAACGTGGAGTTCACGTTTGACACAGACGTCAAAGTCGGCATCACCATCCACTACTTTGCTACAGAGGAGATTGTCAATGGTTTGGCTGTGTAAGTACATCTACATACATGTAAATTTTCATTGTTATTACTGCACTTTGTCTGAGGACAGATTAAAGCTTGGAACTCGAAAATCAAATAAAATGCTGTATTGTTTTTAACACGGCACTTCCTTGTTGTTAAAACAGGTACACTTCCAATGACCCAACGCTCACCTCTGAGACAGTCCACTACAAGCGAGGAGCCAGTCAGATGTTCAGCCTGCCCAGCCATGTGCTAGAGCCCAGCATGTGGAACATCGACGATGTAGGCAGCTGAAATCTTTTAAACTAACAGTCATTCTTATTAATCATTAGTATGCTACAGGCTGCATATGCCAGGTTTCATTATTACAGTAAAGATTATGTTTTCATTAGATGTTCACAGGATTTTATCTTTTTACGACGTTTGGTTGGAAACTGATATAGTATTACTGGTAACAGTTTGATTTTTTTCTTGCACCAACAGTTTAGCTATGATGCAGACAAGCAGGTCATCCCTATGGTGATACAGTGTTGTGTAGAGGAGGAAGAAGGTAGGCCTTCCTATTACTTGTTTGATGGTCTTTCGAGTATGCAATAAGCTAGTTTGAATGTGAAATAGCTTACTGACTGTTTCCTTTAATGATTGGGAAGAGCTGTAAATATGAAATATGAAAATACTTCTTGAAGAAGTCATTTGTGTATTTTTTATTTCAGAAATGACATGTATGTAGAATGTCTATTGCAAAGTTTTTAGCTACATTGTATTAGTAGTATATTTAATCATGTTTTTTTCTTTTATCTATAGAACATGCAGAAAACTTAGGGCATGCCCACATGCTGTTTGCTACATTCGAAAAGGTAAGTTGAACTTTACGCATTTTGCTTGGTCTAATTTTGCATTAATTTTGTTTATTTCCTTAGACAAATGGTTTGTTCATAGCACTGAATGAACACTTGAAGTGAAGTTGATTATTATTTCAATGATTATTCTAGGATCCTAGAATGCAATGGTTACATGAAAGTAATGTGTTACATTTTGTTTACCCTATCCAGAATTCTGAAGAGTGCTTTACTGTCAAACCTTTGAAACAGAAGCAAATGGTGAGTTTCTATATCCATTTTTTCTATTTTTTTGTACTTTGTATTGCTAGTGTTCTTTGAATAATACAGGGGTTCTGAGGAAGTTGTAGTCATAAAGCAAGCTGTAAGATTGAATATCTCTCTGTTCTGAGATGTTTAGCCATACTGTGTTTAAAACTCACATGCATTTTTCTCAAAGGTGGATGGACTGTGCTACCTGCTACAGGAGATCTATGGTATTGAAAACAAGAACTCCCAGGAAACTAAGGTAGGTTTAGTCATGTGAAAGTTGTCAAACTTTTAGCAATTGTAATATTAGCCTTCAGCCAAATTTGTATTTGTTATCGGGTAAGGCAGCTGGTAGAAGGTTTGGTACAAACTTGTTATTGAAGTTGAAAGATAAGGGATGACATGAATCAAATCATAGTACCACTTCCATGTTCCTTCGAAACTGAAGATCACAGGCATGTAAGTTGTTTTAAAGAGCCAGTTCGCAGTTTCCAAGTTCTTTTGTTAGTTCACAGCATCAATGTTGTATTTTCCTCAGCACCAGGAGGATGACATAGATGACAGTGGTTCGGAGTGTGTGATCTGTATGTCAGACATACGGGACACTCTCATCCTGCCCTGCAGACATCTCTGTCTCTGTAACGGCTGTGGTAGGTACTCTCTCTTACACCTCCTTTGTACTGAGCAACCAAAGATTTGACATATGTCGCAATGAATTTGGAAGATAAAGAACAAATTTTATAATGTTTTAAGTGTTCTGTTATCTTTTAAATCATACTTTTACGTCTTGTCTAGTTATGAAAGGGTCACACAAATCCAATTTTCGTTGCCCAGAATTATTGGGGTTTTGGTTATCAGGGTAAAGTCTGGAAAACTAATGAGATGATGTACATGTATGGTCTTGATGTGTCTTTTCCATTGCTGGTAATGCTAGTACATGTACAAAATGTATTATATTTGATCTAGGGAATTTTAACAGATATATTAAAGCTGATAAAAATAATAGGCCCATCAATTCTACTTCCAATGTTCTCCTTGTTTCCATCTATGATATCTGTAACAGTGATTAAGTTGACTTGTCATGTAAGGAGAGGACCATTTGATTTATAGTTGGCAGTTAATTTCTATACTTCCTTTAGTTGATTGTGATCTCAGATGTCTTTTTTTGTTGTTTTTCAGCTGACTCCTTGAGATATCAAGCTAGCAACTGCCCCATCTGCAGACAACGTACGTACAAGGAAATGTTCTTTTGGAAAATGCTCAGTCTGTAAAGACACTATAAGTAAATCTGGAATCCGCTTAATACTCACATACTAGTATATGGAATTTTCCTGCAGTAAAAGTAGTATAAACTTTTGAAAGATGAAAATATATTTGTTTCTGGTCCCTCAGCATTCCGTGCACTGCTACAGATGCGAGCCATGAGGAAGAAGACAAGCCTGACGCCGGCTGTCACTCCTCAATCAGAGGCAGATGAAGTGGTATGGGAACATCACTTCTGTTATGCCCTAGTGCCACACAAACATCATGTCCTAGACAATATCCTCTTTATGCTGCATTACTTTCTAGAAGGTTATGTTTGGGTTTTTTTTAATGTAAGTTTGTGGATGTTTGTATGTGGTTTTAGCACAAGAACTCAAGAAGCTATGGATGGATTGTCATGAAAGGAACCTATCAAAGAAATGATTATGTTTTGGACACCATGGGGGCTTTCCTTGGTACCACTGCAGAACTGGTTGTTTTGATATCTTGTGTTCTGGACTCACTAGGGCCACTACTTTTCGGCAGCAGATAAGCTCTTGTCCATGTGAACAACTGATGTAGATTGGCCCCCATAGCAGGTGTATTGCTTATGTTGGTTGGTCAACCATTATACATCCAGCTGACTCTTGTTTTCCCCTGTCCCTGAGAAGCAGGTAATACAGGAGAATATCCCCCCTGGCTACGAGGTCATCCCCCTGATAGAAGCACTGAACGGTCCCAGCAGCAGCTGCACCACCCCCCCTCCACCTGTCTCTGGGACACATGAAGGTACTGCAAACTCATTACAGTCTGAACCACTGTAAAAATCAAGAGTCTGCTGTATTGTTCAGTTCACAGAGTAGCAAACGTGTAACACAATGTGAAACAACATATGTTTGCAGTGTGAAGACATAACATGAAAACATAGTACGAAAACTTCAAAGTTAACAGTAGGTGTGAAAGGTATTACAGTTACTGTGTAGTTGAAGACCAAAAGAGCACACAGTATTTGGCCACATTGTTCTTCCACGTGACCATTATGATTGCAATGTCTTTCCACCATTACTGTTAGAATGAGGCACTCAGTATCAGTATGGTATGGGTAATACATAGTGGTGTGTGTCAAGTTATTACTGGTCGAGCTGTCATTAACACAGGAGAAACCCTGATTGCAGAACCTTTAGTGGTGACGATGCCACCATCCCCGCAAGGCAGCAAGCCTCAGGACTCAGTTACATGCAGGCCCAAGTCCAAGAGCAAGAGGTAGGCAATGTTTTTCTTATGACCCACATATTTTACAGTTTGCTTTGCTGTGTTTCAATACAAATTTTTCTCAACTTAATGATAGCTGTGGATCAAGCTTGAGACACATTTTCCCTAGTACTAATGAATGAATGCATGCTTTATTATGGTCAGCTATTAATGCCACCACAGGCTGAAAAAATACATACTTTTCAGATAACACTTTACTTCATAGGTTAGTTGCAAATTATCATTCATACTGTTACAAATTAACCATAAAGATGCTTGATGATGAGAATCCTTATTCTATGTCTTGAAACTTCTCTAGGGTTAATTCTCACATGTTTTGGGCGAAAGTCAGTTTTAAAGACTTAATGCCTACAGTGGTTGTATAAGACTGTATAGACTGTATATTTCTTACCTAGTGTTTCTTGCCCCCACAGGAAGAGGTCTGGTGGTTCCTCCCTGCGAGGGACGGCGGCTCTGGAGGGCATGAGTCGGCAGCAGCAGGCTCCCGAGGCCAAGCTGGTGGCACCGCCATGTGACAAGTCTGACAGATCAGACGCCTCCTCTGTGGGCACTGGTCCTTACGTCACTACGCCTGATGATAGCGAGTCAGCTATGTCACCTTCTATTGTCTCATCAGGTAGGTTATCACTGGGACATATGGTGTCTTGTTTCTTGAACACAAGCATGTCATAATGTTCTTCTATACTTGATAATCTAATTAATGACACCATGAAAATTTTTTCGTAAGGCACCAAAAATTTGCAGCCACATTCTTGCACAATCATCTTGAAGTCTTTCCAGATCAATTTGAAGAAAACCTTTTCCCTCCTCAGTGCCCCCATCAGAGGTTGACATATCGGAGAGGTCTTCTCTGGGAGGAGAGGTGACGACACCTGAGACACCTGCGGCGTGTTCCGCGCAGGTCTCGTCCATCGGTACACCTGGGATCACTCCCTCCTGTACGGTGGACGGGGACCTCAGTCAGCAGGACCCAGAGGTACCCAGTGTACTACTGGCCTCACCAAAGTCATTCTCAAACCATAGCGCATATCTGAAGAAATATACATCATAGCTCACCTATTTTTAACTTTTAGCATGCTTTTAGTGTACATGCACTATGTTGGTACTTGTAGGGTAGCAGGGAGGGAGTTACGTACTTAAACAAAGTGCAAGATAAAATATGTACAGGCACTTTGGGAAAAACTGACTGTTAACAGTATTATAAAATGTTCCTTTACATTACCTGTACTGTAGAGTGTTTTTAGTATAGAGTATTTGACAGGGATTTCTTGCTGCAGTAGCAGGGATTATTATACAATAGGCTTCACCCCAGTGAATGGTTTCTTTCCTTCCAAGGGTTATTATGCATTTTACGTTGTAGCTAAGTTGTTGTGACAAATGATGGGACCAGTTCACCACAGTCTGAAGTGTAGAGCTATCCATCGCAACAGCTCTTTCCTCTCACTTTCCCTTACTGTTGCTTTGAGTCTCTCACTTCCAAAACAAGCTTAGATGTCTTGAAGAAAGTACATTTTGTACCTCTCTCTCTTTCCATTGTGTACTTGAACCAAAGAATGTACACCTCTCTATGTGACTGAGTACTGATACTTCTAATAGATATTTCCCTCACTCTAATGCACTAAGGTGGCTGGTGACCACTAGTTTGGGCTAAGGTCTTTTGCACATGCACGAGCACGTGTTGGGGTGAATTAGTGCACTATAATCATAGTAAGGTGGAAATATAAGACACTTGTTTCTTGCCAGTGTCAAAATTCTGTGTTTTGGAAATTACTACATGTATAAAGTTTATTTGTCATAATTGACTTTGGACATTAGGACACTGCGAGAAACTGTGTCTTATGTGTAACTTTAGTAATGCACTGGTGCTTGTAATATAATGTAAAGTGAATGTAGCTAGTAGATAGCCCTCCCCACTTACTATACACGAATGGTCCAAAATTGCCAAGTTGGTTTCAAGCAACTAAACTATGACAGCTTGGGCAGAAATTGTTCATTTTTATGGAGAAATCGTACTAAATCTAGATCTTACTTTTAAGTGACAGTTCTGATTTCCTCCTCAACTGCAACTAAATATGCTGACTTTACAAATTCTTTTGAAATTGATTATGACTAGGTAATAGAGAACAACACTTGTTGAAACAAGATTGAAATGGAATATATTGGACCATTTGTGTATGACTTAATGCACCAGGAGGCTGACCATAACACTTGTTCACAATCATGCATGAACCATTGTGGAACTGTGACCGTGACTAACGTTTGCATGTTGCCCCCTGTGTCCCCAGGGAAGCTCTTACAACACCGCTCCTGACGCCTCCTCGCCCCTCTCCCTCCCCACAACACCTCTGTCTCCTGCCGACCCCTCCATTCAGCTCCTTCCCAAGATGCACCAGCTTCAGCTCTCTACCCATGATGCTCTGCTGGAGGCTTCGCAAAGTACCAAACAGGACCTCGACATCTCCCCCTATTCCGACGCCTCCGAAAATCCTTGTCACGATTTCGACCATTTCAGTCCTAAAAACCATCCCAACTCTTTGGCCATTATTTCCAACCAAGTGGCTACCTTAGCTTCTGAAGAGGACCCTCTCTCTTCGTCCTCAAGCAAAGATGCCGGGCCCGTGGGGATTTTCCTCGACAACATTCCGTACGCGGACTGCTCGTCGGCTGGGTCTGGTACCCCCCAGGGGGCCCCAGACGATAACAAAGACACCCAGCCGCCAAAATTCGGTCCACACGTGTTCGCCAAGCTTGGTCCTCCTTTGGTTGCTCGATTGGCCTTTGAAAATGAAAAACCTGCTTCTGACAGATGCACCCTTCCTGAGGGAGACTGTCCTGCCAACAATGGTTCTCTGAAAGAGTCCCACTCCTCCCCTTCCTCTCCTTCTCCTGTCTATAGTGAAGCGCTAAGTCAGGTTCCGTTTGCGGAGGGGCATGGGCAGAAGGACACACCTGAGGAACAGGTGTCTGCAGGTGCTACTAGCCAGGTGTGCATCGAGCTGGCTTGCCTTGTGTCCGACTGTGTGTGTGTTGTGTGTAGCATGTAGACAGGGCCAGGGTGGTGGCCATCTATCTTTTCTCCTAGTACAACAGTACCAGTACTGTCCTCCCTTAACCTTCTGAGCTCACTCTTGTGTTCCTATAAAAGGATGAGAGTCTGCATGGTTAAGATCTTCTCTGTAGTATTACACAGAGCTGGTCTGTCTATGCTTTTGTTCCATCCTTTGTTGTAACATCTTTTGCCATGTGGTATTCTTATCATATTCTATGGCAAATTGTGTTAGAAGTGTTTGAAGTCCTTGTTCTGTCCTTACGAGAGCCAAGTCTGAGGGTTTGTTTGCCAATACAGAACTGTTTAGACTAGAATCATAATTTTTGTTTTTCATCCATAGACATGTCTTGCAGTGTGCCTCTTGTCACTTTTTTCCAACCATCTTGTATCTTAGGTTTATTAGAAAATGACCTGTCTATTGACTTAGGAAAACTGAAACGGAGTACTTCTGATGTACACTTACCAGGTAGAAGAGTGTGTCTTAGTGTTGGAATAAGTACTAACTAAGCTCCTCCCACCCTCTCAAACAGGAAAACAGACCGGGTCCCTCTGGCGCTAACCTGAAGTCGTTTGTGGTGCCCAGAGGTGATGATCCTCGGAAGGGCGCCACAGCTGCGCCGAGGGACTACGATTACGTCGTCATTCACGAGGAAAGTCATGGGGACGACGAAGCAAGTGAAAATGACGATGACGAAGAGAATGAAAATGATGGTAATGTCCTCCATGATAGATAACCTGTCTATTTCAAAGGGAAAGTTGTGGAAAGAGTCAGCTAACCAATAGTGGCAGTCGTAAGTCCCTTTTAATGTGGTGTAACCCGAAGGACAACTTCAGAATCTCAGCTAAATCATATCTCATATCTTTATTGTAGTATGACAACTACACCATACGTAACTATAGACCAGGACATTTTAACAACAATGACAAAGACAGAGACAACTGACAACAGAGAAGGCTACTTGTGCTTTGCATGTGTTTTTTTTGTTTGTGTGCAAGGTTTTAGGTGAGCTGGGCATGTGGGCTTACTGCATTTTAACAGAACTAACTTCTCTGAAGATACTGGCATGTACAACTGTCCTCTCTGTGCTAGCTTGACATGCATGTAGTGGTACATGTATATTATGTACATTGTTTGAAAACATAATTGGCAGATCAGGGCTCAAAATTCGGCAATTGCCTTTTCTGAGTGTGATTCATACATAACCCCAAGACTGCATTTTCATACATTGCCAAATTGACATTTGTTTCATGTAATTATATCTTTTTCGGCAATCTCAAAAATCTTACTGCAGATTGCAGGTGTGTATTTTGAGCCCTGCGGACAGATATTATCGACAAAGTTGACTGTGACCCAGAGTGCATGTGTTTCTCACATTTTGCATGTCAGCCATTCTCGTATTTGGACAAACTTGAGAACTATTGCATCTAAAAATGTCAAATTTCCAAGGATCACTTAACTGTCTTAAGCACCTGCAAGAAAAATATTGGGAAAAAAGATTGACTTGCAACTGCACATATGATGTTTTTGCAAGACCTAAACAA